GCTTTTCAAGTAAATGAATATACCCCAAACCTCTAAGCCAGTGCCCAGGTTGAAAATCCTCAAGAATTTGTAATGCATGCTGCTGTCAACTCCAGTAAGGAACAACACTGGATGGTCCCTTAGTCTACGCCATGTGTGTAAATCCCAGTAGTGTTGGGCCTGGTGGTGGCCTAGTGGCTAAAGCCCACGCCATGAACGTCCTGGGATCCCATATAGGTGCTGCCGGTTCTAATCCCGGCAGCTCCACTTCCCATCCAGCTCCCTGCCTGTGGCCTGAGAAAGCACTGGAGGACGGCCCAAAGCCTTGGGGACCCTGCACCCGCGTGGGAGACCCGGAAGAGGCTCCTGGCTCCTGGCTTCAGATCGGCATAGCATCGGCCATTGCGGCTCACTTGGGGAGTGAATCAATGGATGGAAGATCTTCCTCTCTGTCTCTCCTCCTCTCTATAGATCTGACTTTCCAATAAATAAATAAATCTTTAAAAAAAAAAAAAAGAGTTCTGGAATGTCTGGTAGAATAAGGAAGAATAAGCATTGACTTTGGTTTTCCTTAATTTTTCAAAAGAAAATTTAGCTAAGATTGGGTCATGCTTAAGTTCATGGCTAGATCAAGGTTGAGGGTTGGGGATGAGGGTATATAGGGTTAGGTTGAGCCCTAGAGTGGGTTGCAATAACTTTTAAGCATTTTAACATCTTGCCCTAAGATAACAGAGCACCGTCTGTTATCTCTGCCTTCACTAACCACTGCATGGGAAGTTATTAGCCAATGTGACTAGGTGAGCGAAAGCAATTAGGAGGCAAGATGGGTAAACCAGGAAATTAAAGCTCTCTCAGCATGCGGTGGTAGTGAAGGTTAAAATGACACAAGCAACGCATGGGAGCTGTGACTCAAACACTGGCAGCTCTGCTTCCGATCCAACTCCCTGCAAATGGAACCTGGGAAATGGAGAAAGAAGCCCTGACTTCTTGAGTCCCCACTCACCAGGTGGGAGACCCTAATGGAGAATCAGACTCCAGGCTTCAGCTGGCTGAGCCCAGCCAGTATAATACCATTTGGAGAGTGAATCTGAAACCAGAAAATTCTGTATGTGTGTGTGTGTGTGTGTGTGTGTAAGATTCTGCCTTCTAAATTAATCATCTTATAAAAAATGTAAACTATATCCAATTGTAAGGCAGTGTATCTGGAACATCACAGAAAAACAATGAGAAAAATAAACAGCAAAAAATGAGAAACCCAATAAAGTGGCAGGTTATGAAATTAGGAGAGAGATACCAGTTGTTTTCACATATTCAAATTATGAAGACAGGGGTATGTCTCTTATTGAAAAAAAATGAACACCCCAGGGGAAATGTTGAACAAGTGCACAAATATTGTTATAACCAAAAATCCTAAAACATTTCTCACAAACTTAATAGTGTTGAACCACGGCAGGCCCCGCTCTTGGTTGATAACATAAAGGTGTTAGTTCACCCCACATTCACTGACCAAAGCAGGGCAACACCAGTAATCTATCCATGAACTCACGACGAAGTTGTCCAATAGGCAAATGCATTTGGAAAACAGGGGGGCACAACAAAAAGAAAGCAACAATCAGCAAAAGCAACCAAAAAAGGAATAACCATCAGGGGAAAGTCTACTTCAAGACATTCAATGTGGCTATGAATCTACCAGCCCCTGGGAGTTCAACACTGTGTTACACAGCGATCAATTACAACACAAAGTCCCAAAGTTAGACCAGGCACCCGTGGACTCTAAGGCAAAGACGAGGGCAAGTTGAGTCACTACTTGGGATGCCCCTGTCCCATGTTGGAGTGCCTGAGTTTCTACCTTGGTCTGTTTATCTGGTTTGCTGCTGGTGCACCTGTGACAGACTTGGGTTTTTCTCGCTCTCATGGGAGACCTGGAGTTCCAGGCTAAGCAGCTTTGGCCAGGCTCAGCCTGTGTTGGAGGGGAACGAATGGGGGATTTTTTTCTCTTCCTGCCTCTGTGTGAAAGCTTAAAGTAAGAACAATGACATCCTTGAGCTCTGGGGCAGAGTTTTTAATACATGGCACATGCACAAGGGCATCATATTGGGGTCCCTCTGTTAAGAGAAAGGCGATAGAAAAGTCTTCTGTCTGCTGGCTCACTCTTCCAAACTCCCAGGAGTCTCTGCTGAAGCCCTGGCACTTCACTTGGGTCTGTGCTCCAAACAGCCAGACAAAAGCTTGTCCGAAAACCACCCATCCACCGCTCGCCCTCCACAACTCCTCAACCACTCTGATCACCACCACGCCAACGCATCCTCCCCCGACACACCGTTAGCTAACGCACAGAGTGTGGATGGAACTCTCAGGTACCCATTCTCCCACTACAACGAAAGCATCATTTAGGGCCAAAATCCTGTCGCTGCTGTTGTTGACCCATCGGAGGTGTGACCTCAGCAATTCCCATCTATCAAGGATTGGCTAACAAGGAACCTGAATTTTCCAATTCCCCAAGAGCAAAGTGGAGGCGCTGACCATACCTGCTATTTCCTGCTGATGACCCTCAACTAGATTAGTCCAGCTTGGAAGGTTTATTATTATTATTATTACACTAGGTTTAGCATGACTGCACCCTATGACACCCTGGGGAGCACCTGAACTTACCCAGATTCCACTTTTTACAATGAATCTATTGGGGTATTCAATGCACTCTCAAGTTATAATGGGTTAGGGGCTGGTGGCATGGCCTTGCTGCTAAAGTCCTCACCTTGAACGCACCTTAAACGCACCAGTATCCCATAGGGGCACCGGTTCTAATCCCGGCAGCTCCACTTCCCATCCAGCTCCCTGCTTGTGGCCTGGGAAAGCAGTCAAGGACAGCCCAAAGATTTGGGACCCTGCACCCGCGTGGGAGACCCGGAAGAGCTTCCTGGCTCCTGGCTTTGGATCGGCACAGCACTGGCCGTTGCGGTCACTTGGGGAGTGAATCATCGGATGGAAGATCTTCCTCTCTGTCTCTCCTCCTCTCTGTATATCCGGCTTTGTAATAAAAATAAATCTTTAAAACAAAGGTTATAACGGGTTGACCCATAATCCTATTATGAGTTAAAAAGCATCTATTTACTACCAAGATCTAAAGAAAAGGTTTAGGTACCAGGACTTTAAATACCATTTTTAAAATTAAAAAGTTAACTGGCAAGAGTACATGTTACACCCATGTTGAGATCGTAGTTCTATAAAAACTCATGCTATGTGTGGGTCCCACATAACAGCCAGCTGAGAACTTTTCCCCAATCAAGAAGCAAAATAAAAAAAAGACAGTAAAATATCCACCACAACTTAAGCCAGCAACGTTTTATTATTAGTTTTGTCACATGATAAGCAGGCTGGAAGTCACCAGTCCGGGGTTGGTACAGACACTGGAGCCACAGGAATGGGGACCAGGACCTTCCCAACTTGTCCGCAGTATTCCAAGGGTAGCTTTCACCCTCAGGGTCACAAGACACACGGGGTCCTGGATCTCCTTCCAGGGTGAGGAGCTGGGGAAACAGCAAAGCTTGAATCAAACAGAGGAGGGAAAAAAAAAAAAAAAACCCAGGTTAAGAATGGCCCGTGTTTTGAGGAATTTTTCTAGAAGCTCATACAGTGCTGTGTCTGCACGTCTTCGGCCGGAGGTAAGGTCTGTACCAAAAACGGGGACCAGTATGAAAACTTGAGAGGATTCGTCCTGACGTGGTCTTAACCTGACGGCACCTGAATTCTCTTAATAAGGAAGGCGAGAGTTGCGCCTACTAGAGAAATCAAACGGAAGTATATGCCACTCTTTGTGACATCAGGCTGTGACTGCAATGCTTTCGAATCCAGATGCTGGTTCATAAAACAGGTGCCAAAAGACACACAGCTGCTGCTTGGTATACGCGGCGTTCGATCTATACAGGCCATGGGTTGAGTCGTTGCTTCCAAAAGACACAGGATGCAGTCACAGTGAAACAACTATTATACAAACCCTGCACCATAGTGCTCGAGGGTTGAGTGGCAGAAAATTCAAGAACAAGGACCGGAAGTGAGCGGGTCGACAGTCTGTTTTGGCGATTCAAGGCTGTCCACTGGAGTCGCCACCCTCACCGGGTAATCCCATCGGGGTTTGTTTGTTTGCAATTTTCTTCCGCACACTCGAGTGATGGGACTGCGCGTGGAGCCCCTTCCTCGCGGGCTGGTGTAGAAGCGACACTGTGAAATCCATGGCGGGGGTTGGTGGGCGGAGGGTAGGGGGACCTTACTGAAAATAACCACACCGGCCAGTATGGATCTGTGACACTCCTCCTGGTGTGGATGCTCCAAAGATTCATAAATAACGGAGGGATCGCCATAGGCAATGAGTGAAGAACACTGGACGTGGCTCTCAGCCTGAGCAGTGCTCACCCTTGGGGGGGTGTGGGGGGGCACAGTTCTTCGTGGTGTGGCAAGCCGGTGCACCAAAGGACGGATACCCACGCCAACGTAGCAATACCCACGCCAGCTTCCCACCCTCAGCCACCTGCTGTCCTTCTTTCTCCCCAGCCCGGGACCACTGCCGTGCACCAGGCCTGGCAGCTTTTCCCGTAAAGGGCCGGGGAGCAAGGACTACAGGCTTCAGGGAACCATGCAGGACTTGCGAGATCTTCTTCCTCTTTTTAAAAAGGAAACCATCCTTCTTATTTGTTGGATAGCATCAGCTCTAAGACAGCTGCTCCCCTGCCCGTTTTCTCAGATTCTTCAATTTTTTTTGGGGGGGGTGAGGGGGTCAGTCATAAATACAATGTGTCTCCCCAATCAGGATTTTTTTTTCCCTCCTGTATTTAGTATTCTTTTGTCCAGAACACTAGTAACGCCTGACATAAAACGCCAAGCAGGAGCTTGTCCCACGTTCGTTCGGGGGGGCTGAATGTTATCAGGAAGTTTGTCTCTGCACGGTAGCCCCGGGGATGTCTCCCTGGTGTCCCCGCAGATGTCACATGGCTCGGGTTTTTTTTTGTTTGTTTTTCACAGGCCCTTCTGATGCTCAGAATGGTACCCGGACATCCCTTAGGCCTTCCGAAGGCTTCCCTTCGGCCGCCGTGCACCTGCGTTGCGTGAGGGCAGGCTCGCTTCACTGGAGCCTCTTCCAGGCGGACGACACGAAGAGCTTCTCGCCTCGGTGGGTCTTGACGTGGCTGCGGAGGGACGAGTGGTCGCTGAAGGCCTTCCCGCAGGCCAGACACTCGTAGGGCTTCTCGCCCGTGTGGATCCTCCTGTGCACGTTCAGGTTGGAGCCGATGCTGAAGGCTTTCCCGCAGTGGTCGCACTCGTAGGGTTTCTCGCCCGTGTGGCTCCTCATGTGCGTCTTCAGGGTCGACTGGTTGCGGAAGGCTTTGCCGCACTGCCTGCACTCCACGCGTTTCTTCACCAGGTGCACGCTCATGTGCCTCCTGCGGGACAGGTAGTCCCCGAACACCTTGCCGCAGGCCGGGCACTCGTAGCGTCGCTCCTGGGTGTGGATCTTGCGGTGGGCGGTGAGGTTGGAGCTGGCGCTGAAGGCCTTCCCGCACAGGTCGCAGCCGTAGGGTTTCTCGCCCGTGTGCGAGTTCATGTGGGTCCTGAGGATGGACTGGTTCCGGAAAGCCTTGCCACACTGGCGGCACTCGATGGGTTTCTTGATCACGTGGGTCCTGGCGTGTTTCCTCCGGGCCACGAGGTCCCCGAAGGACTTGCCGCACTCTTTGCATTCGTAGGTCTTCTGCACCGCGTGGTTCTTCTTGTGCAGGTTGAAGTTGGACTTCCAGCGGAAGGCTTTGCCGCACTGGGCGCACGCGTAGGGCTTCTCCCCGGTGTGGTTCCGGATGTGCTCCTTGAGGTGCGAGGGATGCTGGAAGGCCTTGCCGCAGTCCTGACACTCGTAGGGCCTCTCGCCCGTGTGCGTCCTCTTGTGGGCGATGAGATGGCAGCTCCGGCCGTAAGCCTTGCCGCACTGCTCGCACTTGTAGGGCCTCTCGCCCGTGTGCACCCGGGTGTGGATCCTCAGGGCCGACAGGGTCCGGAAGGCGTTGCCGCACTGAGCGCAGTCGAACGGTTTCTCCTTGAGGTGGGTCCTCGAGTGACTCCGGAGGGCCGAGGGGTCGTTGAAAGCTTTGCCGCAGTCCGTGCACTCGTACGGTTTCTCCCCCGTGTGGATGCGCCGGTGGCGCGTGAGGGAGGCGCTCGTGGTGAAGGCCTTCTGGCACTGATGACACTCGTGCACTTTTCTCCCGTCGCACACGCTCACGCGCTGGGCCATGGGGGACCTGTCCCTGAAACCCACGGCCCGGTGGTAGTCGTAGTCGCGGCTACGGAGGCGGCGGTGCTGGTGGTGGTGATGGGGCCTCCTGGCAGCAGGCCTGCCCACCTGCTGAGCATCCAGGCTTAACGCTTCCAACAAGCGAGCATATTCGGCGGGTTTCTCCCCAGGAGGAGTTCTTTCCTGTGGGTTAAGCCATGAGGGATGAGTAGGGGAGGCCCCATGTGCGGGACAGTCCTAAAAAACGAACCACGTCCCCGCCATCACCATCATAGGAAGTTTGAAGACGCTCCAAGGCCCCACCAAGGTGTTGCTTTTTTTTTTTTTTTAAAGATTTATTTATTGGAAAGTCAGATCTACAGAGAGGAGGAGAGACAGAGAGGAAGATCTTCCCTCCGATCATCCGCTCCCCAATCTGAAGCCAGGAGCCAGGAACTTCTTCCGGGTCTCCCACGCGGGTGCAGGGTCCCAAGGCTTTGGGCCGTCCTCCACTGCTTTCCCAGGCCACAAGCAGGGAGCCGGATGGGAAGTGGGGCTGCCGGGATTAGAACCGGCAGCCCATATGGGATCCCGGGGCGTTCAAGGCGAGGACTTTAGCCGCTAGGCCACGCTGCCGGGCCCCAACGTGTTGCTCTTACCAAGTCCCGTGTGTGGAATCAGGCTGACATCTGACGTGGGCTTTAAGCCCCGGGGCTTGGCATCTGAGGCATGGCCTTGGACAACATTCACTCCCGGGGAAACGGGAGAGCTTCGAGGGGCTTGGTTTAGGGTCTCCCCGCCATCCCCAACCGCCCCCGCAACAGAAACCACAGGCAGGTCCATGAAAAGTGCAAAGTTTGGATCAAAGAACTCAACCCGTTCGATTACCAACAGCAGAAGTAAAAACGTTGTGCTCCGAACACAGTGGTTCGGCAGCAGGCCCCTAATTTGTTCAACAATATGGGTGAATTATGACTTACGTGGCGATTGTGTTTTACTAATTCAATTACCCACAGGTGAAAAAACAAATGGGCTTGGTCATGTAAAAATGACTTAGAGGGCCCGGCAGCGCCGTGGCCTAGCTGCTAAAGCCCTCGCCTTGAACGCGCCAGTATCGCATATGAGCGCCGGTTCTAATCCTGGCAGCTCCACTTCCCATCCAGCTCCCTGCCTGTGGCCTGGGAAAGCAGTGGAGGACGGCCCAAAGCTTTGGGACCCTGCACCCGTGTGGGAGACCCGGAAGAAGCTCCTGGCTCCTGGCTTCGGATGGGCATAGCATCAGCCATTGCGCTCACTTGGGGAGTGAATCATCGGCCAGAAGATCTTCCTCTCTGTCTCTCCTCCTCTCTGTAGATCTGACTTACCAATAAATAAATACATCTTTAAAAAAAAAAAAAAAAGACTTCGAAAACCTGGCCCACAGGCAAACACTGTATCAACGGTGCCTGGGACACCCGCAGGCTGTGACCTGGGACACCCGCAGGCTGTGACGTCTTTGGGGAGTCCTGGATCCAGAGCCTGGCAGTGGCTGTCCAGCTTCCCTGGGGGAAGGTCACTCGCCTCTTTTGTGAACTGTTTTTGGTTTTGTTTTTTTTTTTTCCCAACTCGGGCTGCTTCAGACCCAAAATTATCCTAAGGGAATCTTACCATGGTTACACCGCTGGCCGTTTCCTTCCCAGAAATATCCTCAATGAGAATCGACCACTTGGGTTTCAACGCGGTCTCCCAATCTGAGAGCAAAAAAGAAAAACAAAGAAAACAGAATGATAACACACCGGAAGAAGGACATAGCAACATGGTATTGGCAAAGTGTGAACAGGCAGCAAAAAGAGTTTCCAGATTCCTCAAGTGACATGTCCTGATGGAACCCCCCCTCTAATGGCTTGAAGGCCATATTTTTTGGGGGGGGAGGGGGGTTAGCACCTAAACATGAACCGGTGCTTCTTTTTTTAAAGATTTGTTTTTTATTATTTATTTATTGGAAAGGCGGATATACAGAGAGGAGAGACAGAGAGGAAGATCTTCCGGCCGATGATTCACTCCCCAAGTGAGCGCAACGGCCGATGCTATGCCGATCTGAAGCCAGGAGCCTCTTCAGGGTCTCCCACAGGGGTGCAGGGTCCCAAAGCTTTGGGCCGTCCTCTGCTGCTTTCCCAGGCCACAGGCAGGGAGCTGGAAGGGAAGAGGGGCTGCCGGGATTAGAACCGGCGCCCCTATGGGATCCCGGGCATGCAAGGCGAGGACCTTAACCACTTGCGCCACCGCGCCGGGCCCATGAACTGGTGCTTCTATGGCATGACAGGTAATGACTCTGCCAGCCAGCTGTGCCACATCTCCAGCCCCTGATTCGTGGGTGGTTGGGAGGGGCACTCCCACAAAGGCTCATGTGTTGTTGGGGAGGCTGGCCCTCGGTGTCATGGTAGAGGCAGGGCCCCGTGGGCAGTAACTGGGTTAACTGGAGGCCACGCCCCTACACTGGGGCGGGGGGACCCAATACCGGGGGTCTTACAGGATACGTGAGCCCCCGTGAGAGGGAGCTGGGGTCCAACACAGCAAGACTGGCCCCCCTCTCAGGCTTCCTTCAGGTGCCTGGGCTCATACCATGAGGCCACTCTCCTCAGATACCACGCTGCACAGCATCCGGACCCGGGAACTAGGGAAACCTCTTTCCTGGCACCATTATCCAGTCCCCCCAGCGTTCTGTTTGAGCAACAGGGCACCCACCACCACCACCACCCACCCTCCACCCCGACACCAGAAGCACTTCTTCTATGTGGCCATGTGCCCCCACCTGGACCAGCATCTCCCCGAGTCTCCTCCTCCGTCCTCGGCTCCTCTCCTTGTTCCAGGTGCGAGATGAGGCTGGGTTTGCCAACCTGATACCCTGGACGCAGGCAAAGACACACACTGAGGAGGGACTGGGCAGGGCACAACCCAGTTTTTTTTTTAATTTTTAGACCAGGGTCTTCAGTCATAGGAAGAAAGACGAGTCTGACTTGCAACCAGCAGACGGGTAGCGCCCGCTTTCTAAGGAGGCACGCTGCTTTAAAAGCCTTTTGGAAAACCAACCAAGCCACACATTCTGTCCTCCGAAACGATGGTGTTTTTTTTTTTTTTCCTCGGGAAGCTAAGCTGAAGGCACTGGCATCGTGATGCAGCACAGAAAAGCATCATTTGGAAATACGAGCATCCTACACTGGGGGCCCCCCCTGGTGTGTCCTGGCTGCTGTGCTCCTGAGCCAGCTCCTCACTAACTGTGCCTGGGAGGTGGCAAAAAAAAAAAAAGACCCGAGGTACCAGTGCCCTGCCACCCCCACCTGGGAGAGACCCGGATGGAGATCCAAGCTCCAGGCTATGGCTTTCAACTTCTTTTTTGAAGCGCAGGGCAGAGGGTGGGGGATAACAAAATAGACGGAAGTTCCGTTTTCCACAAACTTTTGGAAGTTTACTCCTTTACTCATGTACGAAATCCGTTATTGCCACGCCCCCTTAAGCAGGTGCACTTGGGCGTGGCTTGAGAAAAGAAAAGAGTGGGTTCCTGGCGAGGGCAGGCTCACCCAGGGAAGTGAGGTTGCTGTAGTTTTCCAGCATGACATCAATGTACAGTTTCCTCTGGGACGAATCCAGCAAGGGCCACTCCTTCTCCGTGAAGTCCACGGCCACGTCTTGGAATGTTACGGACTCCTGCAACAGCACACGCACGTGAGGCCCGGGAGACACGGACCCGTCCGTGTCCAATAAAAAAAGCCAGCCGGGCCACAGGACTGGGGTTTTTCCCTGGAGAGTCTGAGCCCCATGCAGGCATCCACCAGCCTACGCGGCAACAGAACCAAGTTCAGCCCGTGACAATGAGGGATGCTCCAAGCATCTCCCATCCTCAGGAGATCCCGAAACCTGGAGTACCTGGGAACCGACAGAGGGTGGTGTGGGTAGCTCCAGCCCATTGCAAACAAACAGGTCCAGATTCCGGGGACAGGAACGGTCTTGGGAAGGAGGAGGAAATTCTGACTCCTGGGGAGAGGCGGGATCCTGGATGGACAGAGCTGGAGCAGAGAGGGATCGTCAGGGCCAAACAAAGCCTGCCCTGTCATTCAGACACTGATCCGTGCACAACCGCTGAGCAAACACAACCCCAAACATCTCTGTCTCTCACACACACACACACACACACAGGTGCACGCGCTCCGAGCATACCACAGCAGGCTTGCTTGGCCACCAGCCCTCTTCCAACTCGGTCCGTTAGACCACCCCACCCTCCAAACCCCCGGCTCCTTTCCACCCACAGCCTTCCCTATGGCTGCGTCCCTTCCACCCGTGGGAAAAACAGCCATCTCTCTAAGCTCTGAAGGCACGCGTTAACCCCAGGAACTTACCAGGAACGGCGGACAGACCAAGAGCCGCCATTCTGCAAGCAGGACAGTCCACGGGTCCCAACAAGCAGGCTCCCCCCCCCCCAGAAGATAAGGATGCTTCCCCCTGGCTCTCCCAGGCCTCTCCAAGCTGGCACCTGCAGGCAAATGACAGTAGACCACGAGCAGTGACAGGCCACTCCACCTGCTGCTCACTCTTTGGGGACAATTCTGAGTTCTATTTTCCCTTCATTTCTTCCGAGCAGCAGCTTCTGCTTGATTCTGGGCCTTTCCTGGATCTGCCTGAGCTCCACACAGCACTCAGATGCCCTGTCCCCAAGCAACAGGCACCAGGCACACCCTCCCGACCCTTATACCTGGCTCGAGGATGCAACTGGAAGCCACCTCTCTCCCACTCTGCATTTCAAGCAGATGAAAACACAACAACAGCAATAATAATAATACACATTAAAAAACTGAAATATAAAATCCTATAACCATCTGAACATTGACTGAAAAAGGCAACAAAATACCCATACTTTGAACTTCCCACTCATTTAGCAGACATTCTTTTTAGATGCACTGCAGGAAGAAAGAACCCGAGCAAAGAGCGTAAGAACCGCGTAAGAATCAGAAGAAAAGGTTGAGCACGGGGTCTACAGAAATGCTAAGCATCTTGGATGAGCTTGGTTAAAACCACAGAATGTGGGGACCCAGTGCGACACCTGGGCGAGGCACAAAGGGGTGTCAATGAAACGCAAATACGGGCACCGAAGGAGGGGCTGACTGAACGTGCAACTGCTCCTCAAGTGAAGAGAGAAAAAGATACAAAACCACCGGGTTCTCTTGAGTGGAAGGGAGGGGGTCTCTCCTTGCTGCCCCCCAAAGGGCCAGGATCCACCTCCGCCCGCCCTGCCAAAAGCTCAGGGGTCTAGAAACACAGACACCTCCCCGCGTGGAGGATCAGCACCCTTATTCTTCCTGTACCCCCTCCTCCTTGTACCACGTTCCCCTAGCACCCCTTCTCCCTGCACCCCTTCACCCCGTACCCCTTCTCCTAGCACCTGCTTCTCCCCACACCCCCTTTCTCCCTGTACCCCATTATCCCCGCGCCCTCTTCTCCCTGTACCCCCTTCCCCCTGCACCCCGTTCCCTCTGCACGCCCCTTCTCCCTGCACGCCATTCCTTTTGCACCCTTGTCCCTGTGGCACCTTCTCCCTGCACCCCGTTCCCTCTGCACCCCCTTCTCCCTGCCCCCTCTTCTCCCTGTACCCCGTTCCCTCTGCACCCCCTTCCCCCTGCACCCCGTTGCCTCTGCACGCCCCTTCTCCCTGCACCCCATTCCTTCTGCACCCTTGTCCCTGTAGCACCTTCTCCCTGCACCCCGTTCCCTCTGCACCCCCTTCTCCCTGCCCCCTCTTCTCCCCGTACCCCGTTCCCTCTGCACCCCCTTCCCCCTGCACCCCGTTCCCTCTGCACGCCCCTTCTCCCTGCACCCCATTCCTTCTGCACCCTTGTCCCTGTAGTACCTTCTCCCTGCACCCCGTTACCTCTGCACCCCCTTCTCCCTGCCCCCTCTTCTCCCCGTACCCGTTCCCTCTGCACCCCCTTCCCCCTGCACCCCGTTCCCTCTGCATGCCCCTTTTCCCTGCACCCCGCTCCCTCTGCACCTCGTTCCCTCTGCACCTTCTTCTCCCAGCATCCCGTCCCCTGTGCACCCCGTTCCCTCTGCATCCCCTTCTCGCTGCACCCCCTTCTCCCTGCACCCCCTTCTCCCGGTACCCGCTTCTCCCTGCCTTCCTGCGTGGCACTTCCCGTTTTCCCCTCACGGACGCCGGGCTTACACGATGCAGAGGTCCCGGAAGCTGCCGCCGTGGACGGGAAGAGCCACACCGAGGGGAAGCGGCACGTCCCCCGCAAGTCTGAGGAAGTCACAGCTGACCCATGTGTCCAGCGGCCATCGCCTACCGGGGTAATGGCTTCCGCTTCACTTCCGCCTTTCTGCATCTCGCGGGACTTCCATTGGCTGGCACTGGCCCGCCTGCGGGGCGGGCAGAGGCTTCTGGGAAATGTAGTTTATAAGCTCGTGGCCGCGGTTCCCAGATGGAATAGGAATTTGTATCCTGGGAATTCAGCAGTCTAGCCCCAGGCGGTACTTAACCCTGAATTGCAGCGTGCTGAGACAGCAGGGGATGTGTGATGTGAGCCATGAGAATCAGAATCACAGTTGCTTGATGAAAAGTCTTTTCCGGGCCTGGCAGTGTGGCCTAGCAGCTAAAGCCCTCGCCTTTCCCATCCCAGGATCCCATATAGGCACCGGTTCTAATCCCGGCAGCTCCACTTCCCATCCAGCTCCCTGCTTGTGGCCTGGGAAAGCGGTAGAAGATGGCCCAACGCCTTTGGCCCCTGTGCTCAATATGGAAACTGCTGGCTTCCAACCTCACATCAGCTCAGCTCCAGCTATCGTAGCAGTTGGGGGATGAAAAACGCACAGTTTGGGGATGAAAACCAGCAGATGAAAAATCTCTTGGTTTCTCCTTTTCTCTGTAAATTGCATTTCGAGCAAAAAAAAATCATAAATCTTGAAACGTTTGTAAGACAACTGTGTAGATGGCGTGGTCATGGTTGTACGTAATAGTACCAATTTTTTTTTCAGATTAAAAAATGAAAATAGACACGAGACAGCTGAATAGTAATCTGTAGCCATTTTGAGGTGTATAGAACCTGGTTAAATATAAACCAAAATTGAAATGCCTATGAAGAAGTCACAGGATGTAGTTAAGAACCTGCATTTTCCTATTAACATATTGTTAATCAATACCACGTCAATTAATGCCATAAGGTTGTAAATTGTTGATGATGTTATGTCGGGGCTTTTAATTGATTGGGGTGAAGCTTTGCCGGCTTTACCTTCAGACCAGAAATGGTCTCACCAAGAAATCGTTGAACCCACTAGGATAATAAGACGCTGGACTTTATGCTTGGTAAATACTTCCAATGAAAGAACCTCAGCTGAATTTGAACTGTGGTAATGCAACAAGGTGGAGAAATCCACCATGGGGGGAGAGTTTGGGGAAGGGTAGGGGGAATCCCAGTGCCCATAACACTGTGTCACATAATGCAATGTAATTAATAAAAATAAATAAATAAATAAATAAACACATCTCAAAGCATTGAGTTCAGCGATATAAAAGGAGCATCCAAAATGCAAACCAAATTTTTTTTAAATAGCGAGCATTTGGGCCAGTGGCTAAGACCACGCTTGGGATACTTGTATCCCATACCTGGATGCAGATTTTAGCTTCCTGCCAGTGGGCATCCTAAGAGGCAGCAGGTCATAGTGCAAGCATGTGTGTCTCTGCCACTCCTGTGGAAGAGCCAGAATGAGTTCTCAGTTCTTGACTTCTTTGGCCTGGCCCAGCCCCGGCTGTTACAACAGGGTGAGGCAGGATTGGGGCAGTGGAAAGTAAGTCTCAGGGTTGTGTCTTCTGTTGCCCTGTTTTGGGGACACAGCCTGGGGTCTGCCTCGCTGTGGCACTCTGGCACTCCTAGGAAGACTACGGCGGCCTCAGTACGGTGCGTGGTGGCTGTGCATGCGAGGGGCCCCCTTCTTCTTACTGAGTCCGAAGAGCAGGGAGGTGACGGGAGCCTTGAGGAAACTCATCTCTGCAGTATTTTTCCTTTTTCTGAGTTTCTGCCTTGGGTAGAAGGTTCTAGAATGAATCAAAGGAATGCAGTAATGGGTGTGCCGGCGACCCTATCTCTCCCTTAACTCGTCTTATTAAATTCGTTTTTAAACATATGGATTGATTTCCATTTTTATTTCAAGGATAGAGAAAGATCTTCTCAAGTGCCTTGCACGTGCGTCTGGCACAGCAATGGGAGGCTGGCTCAAGTCCCCACAAAAGCAAGAAAAAGTCGTTTTCCCTGACATATTCTGAAATCGTTTTGTTTAGGGACCATAATTCTCCCTGAATATATGGGAATACTTACTTACCTGTAAGACTGGCCGGAGTCATCACAGCATGGCTCTCACACCTAGCATGTTTCAATCCACAAGTGTTTTGAACTATTTGGATGTCCACACGCCTGGATCATACGATTCCACTTATGTACCAAGACCCTGGGGTGATCAGATCCCTTGAGACAGAAAGTAGAATGGGGCTGGGGTGCCAGTGGGAGCAGGAGTGCTGTCTCGGGGGGAGCAGTGTCGCTTTTGGGAAAATGAAGGTGTTCTGGAGACAGATGGTGGGGACAAGGACACAATACCCGGATGTTGATGAGTGATTCAAGAATCCGGGCAACTGCTGTGTGGCAGCTCAAGCCACCACCACCACCACCACCACCACCCACAAGGCCAGCGTCTCCTACACACGCTGCTTCGAGTCCCGGTGGCTTCATTTCGCTCCAGCTTCCTGGAATGCACCTGGAAAGAAGATGCCCTAAGCACTTGGGCATCTTGAGGAAGATCTGGAAGGAGTTCCTGCATCCCAGCTTCAGCCTGGTCCAGCACTGACTGTTACGGTTGAGGAGGAGGGAAGCAGCGCGTGAACAATCTCTCTCTCTCTCTCTCTCTCTCTCCCTAGAACTCTGACTTCAAAACCAATAAATAAATACATCTTTTCAAAAGAATGCATCTGGGCCCGGCGCAGTGGCGCAGTGGTTAAGGTCCTCCCCTTGCACGCCCGGGATCCCATATGGGCGCCGGTTCTAATCCCGGCAGCCCCGCTTCCCTTCCAGCTCCCTGCCTGTGGCCTGGGAAAGCAGTGGAGGACGGCCCAAAGCTTTGGGACCCTGCACCCGCGTGGGAGACCCGGAAGAGGCTCCTGGCTTCCAGATCGGCATAGCATTGGCCATTGCGCTCACTTAGGGAGTGAATCATCGGACGGAAGATCTTCCTCTCTGTCTCTCCTCTCTGTATATCCGCCTTTCCAATAAAAATAAAATAAATCTTTAAATAAATAAATAAATAAATAAAGAATGCATCCAAAAGTTTATAGAAAATATATTTAGTGATAACAGCTCGGAATCCATCCACAGGGTTTTTCCCATTTTCCAGATTGCTGTGATATTTGGGGACTAAATCAGCAGATGGAAGTTCTATATTTTTCTATGCCTTTCAAAAAAAAAATAGAAATATTTTTTAAATGGTCACAGGTTATACATTAGAATCTGTTTAGTAAAATATAGATCACAGGGCCCGGCGCGGTGGCGCAAGTGGTTAAGTCCTCGCCTTGCACGCCCGGGATCCCATATGGGCACCGGTTCTAATCCCGGCAGCCCCGCTTCCCTTCCAGCTCCCTGCCTGTGGCCCGGGAAAGCAGTGGAGGACGGCCCAAAGCTTTGGAACCCTGCACCTGTGTGGGAGACCCGGAAGAGGCTCCTGGCTTCGGATTGGCATAGCATCAGCCGTTGCGCTCACTTGGGGAGTAAATCATCAGATGGAAGATCTTCCTCTCTGTCTCTCCTCTCTGTATATCTGCCTTTCCAATGAAAAAAATAATAAAAATAAATCTTTAAAAAATATATATATATAGATCACAAAATAAATGAGGTACAGGAAACACTGATTTTTTTTTTTATTGGGAAGGCAGATCTACAGAGAGGAGGAGAGATAGAGAGGAAGATCTTCCATCTGCTGATTCACTCCCCAAGTAGCCGCCACGGCTGGAGCTGCGCCAATCCAAAGCCAGGAGCCAGGAGCCTCTTCCAGGTCTCCCATGCAGGTGCAGGGTCCCAAGGCCTTGGGCCATACTTGATTGCTGTCCCAGGCCACAAGCAGTGAGCTGGATGGGAAGTAGAGCAGCCGGGATTAGAACCGGCGTCCATATGGGATCCCAGCACTTACAAGGCGAAGACTTCAGCTGCTACGCTACCACACTGGGCTTGATTCTTAATGAGAAACATTTTAAATATGCTTTAGCTATATCTTACATCCAAATAGATACATTTTCACATTTGAAAAATTTTATAAATTTGAAAAGTCAGAGTTACAGAAACAAAGAAAAACTCTTCTATCCACTGGTTCATTCTCCAGGTGGCTGCAGGAGCCAGGACTGGCCCAAGAGGAGCCAGGATCCAGGAATTTGTTCGGGGTCTCCCATGCGGGTACAAGTGTCCAAGGATTTGGGCCATCCTCCACTGCTCTCCCAGGTACATCAGCAGGGAGCTGGATAACAAGTGGAGCAGCCAGGACACAAACCAGCACCCATATGGGATGCCAGCTTCACAATCAGCAGCTTGACCCACTACTATACCACACTACTGGCCCCTAACATTTGATTTTCACGCTCAAATTGGAACCAGGCATCCTGACACCATGAATTAGATATTGATGCCCTCCTAACGACAGTAACTGAATGCAACACTGCAATTCATGCAGAGAAAGAGATAGAACGCATGCGTGACAGTAACGCGGCGGGCAGGTGAGCAGGGAGAGCCAGTGGCCACTGAAGTCTCCTGGGTCAGGGAATCCGTTTTCCAGAACTGCTCTTGTCTGGAGCTTTGCTCTTTAAGGATCTGTCCCCTTGGGGATGCAAACAGCGCTGAAGTCGCCGCTCTAATGAGGAGCAGTGGGGATATAGAGGCTGTCGGAGTTGGCCCGTGGCCACCTCACCCAACAGCTCCTGCCCGGTCAGGATGCTGCTTACCTGAGCCCTCCTCCGCAGAGATGAACCCTCCGCACCAGGAGCCTGGAGCCCCGCCGGGTGTGTCCATCCTTCCTGAAGACAGATCTTCCACGCCCAGGTAAGGCGGAAAACGTCAGGTGTCCTGCCATCAATCAGGTGCCCGTGTCTCCCAGTTTTGCTTTGAACCTAAGGCTCGGTGTTTCGCTAGGGTTTGGCTCCAGGGAACTGTGAGGCAGGAGGAGCTACGTATAGGAACCTCAACAGGTGTCGCGTAAGTTTAGCCCACACTCGGCCATCAGATCAGACTCTGCTGGCCTCGGCTTGCTTCCTCCCTCTTCTCCTCGTTCAACCGCCTCCTGAGTGTAAATCCCCAGCTCTCAAACACCACGGCTGCTGTGAAATACCCCAGCCCTTCTCTGAAGTCCGGTGGTGATGGTGGTGCTGCTGGTGGCGATGGGGAGAGAGAGAATTCTGACTAGTGTAGGGGTTCCCTAGAGCTGCCAGGGCACAGCACCACCAAGGTGACTCTGCCCCCCAAAAATCATCTCTCTGCTCACAGCCCTGGAGGCTGGGAGTGACTGAGGCATAGGTGGGTGGAGAGGAAGAGGGGGTTCTCATCTTTTTTTTTTTCTGAATGTTTGGATTTCACTTGTATTTTATTTGAAAGGCAGAGTTACACACAGAGACCTCTTCCATCCACTGACTCTCTTCTCAAATGGCTGCAACAGCTAGAGCTGAGTTGATCTGAAACCTGGGGCTTCTGGGTTACCCCCATGGGTACAGGAGCCCAAGGACATGGGCCATTTTTTTTTTTTTTTGCTGCTTTTACAGGCCACTAATAGGAAGCTGGATTGCAAGTAGAACAGCCAGGACTGAAACCAGCTCCCGTATATAGGATGCTGGTCTTGTGGGCAGGAACTTAGCGTGCTATGCCACCAGGCTGGCACATATATTCTATTTTTTTTTTTTACAGAGTTCTTTAAAAGGCTGAGTGCTAGAAAGCAAAGGAGAATCAGAGGTCTTTTATCTACTGGTTTACTCAAACAGTTGCAATAACCAGGTCTGGCCCAGGTCACAGGCAGGAGACTGAAGCTCCACCCAGGTCTCCCATGTGGGTGGCAGAGAGCCGCCTTTTGCTACTTTCCTAGCCGTATTTGTAGGGAATCCTATTGGAAGTACAGCAGCCAGGACTCAACAGCGGTGCCCATGTATGCTAGGGTTGCAGGCAGTGGCTTTTCCCACTCTGCCACAACGCTGGCCCATAATGCATTTTTCTAATGCTGTGGGTTCTCTGTCCTCAGACATATTTTATCTTGTAGGTTCTTGATCTTTCTGTTGACTTACGTGTTCAGTTCATTGTAGCATTCAGTCCACTTTTCGTGGGCATATCGTCCATTGTACATCCATGTTAAATCGTTGTTGGCACCACGCTTAATTTTCTGCCTTTCTTGTGTATTGTAACCAAGATTCCCAAAGGGGGAGGGGTGGTTTCAGCGTGGAAACTTCCCTGAACTTGACAGTAATTGAGAGACACCCCCAATATCGTCCCCGACTCCATCATGTGCTATTACCCATGGCAGGTGCTATTGTCCATGGGTGGAAAAGACAACCTATCAAATGTCATGTGGGCGTTGGGGACGGTGGCTAAGACACCTGTGGGATCCCTGGGTCCCCCATCAGAGTGCGGGGAATCGGGATATGGCCCTGCGCCCAATTCCAGGTTCCTTGTAGTACGTACCTGGGAGGCAGTGGATAATGGCTCAAATCTCTGATTCTCCATCATCCACACGGGAGACACAGACTGAGTTCTGACTCCTAGCCTCGGGGAGTGTACTGGCCATTTGAAGATCTCCGCCTTTCCATCTATTTCTCTTCTCTCTGGCATGAGAATTTGGGGCTGGTGCAATGGCTCAAGTGGTTAATCCTCTACCGCCAAGTGCCAGCACCCCACATGAACACCGGTTCTAATCCCGGCTGCTCCACTTCCCTTCCAGCTTCCTGATTGTGGCCTGGGAAGGCAATTGAGGACAGCCCAAAGCTTTGGGACCCTGCATCCACATGGGAGACCCAGAAGAAGCTCCTGGCTTCTGGCTTCAGATCGGAGCTCAGCTCCGGCCGTTGTGGCCACTTGGAGAGTGAATCAGCGGATGGAGGAACTTTGTCTCTCCTCCTCGCTATGTATGTGACTTTTCAATAAAAATGAATCTTTCAAAAAATACACAAATGTATCGGAATTAAACAAAATGGTCAGCACAGCTCTAGGCTTTTTATTTATTCTCTTCTCCCTATTGCCACAGTCCTGTAGGATGCAAGGATAGCTTTCACTGCAAAACAGATATGAGGACTCAGGGGCCAGGGAACGTGTGTTACCAGTTCAAGTCCCTGCTGCCCCATTTCGGACTCAGCGCCCAGCTAACATGTGTGGGAAGGCAGTGGGAGATGACTCAGTGTTACACGCCAAGGGGTCTAACACCCACGGAGAAGGACAGACTGGGAGTTCCAGGTTCCTGGCTCCATCCTGTCCCAGCCTTGGCTGTTGCAGACATTTGGGGAGTGAACCAGGGGATAGAAAATGTCTCTTTCCTCTTCCTCCACCTTCTCCTGTTACTGTCTTTGAAATATAATATTATTATATATATTAGATATATTATAATTATATATTACACATAATATATAATTATATATAATTATTATATATTATATATTATTATATGTATAATATATTATATATTATATATTTATATATTATTATAATATATATTATAATAACATATTAATATATATTAATATATAATTATATATTATTAAAATATATTATAATATTATTATATAATTGTATATATGATATATAATTATATATTAATATATATTATAGATAATATAATATTTATATATTTATATATTATATATTATAGATAATATGTATTATATATTATATATATAAATTATATATATAATATATTATATGATATATAATAATATATTATAATATATAATATAATAATAAGATATTATATAATATATTATACTATGTTATATATAATTATATATATTATATATTATACAATATTATATATTGTATATAGATATATAAATGTATAGCATATATACTTATAAATATATATAAATATATATTGAAATATATAATATGTGAATTAAATACATAAATGTATTCAAAATATATTTTTATATATTTACATATTTTTTATATATTCAAATATATATAAATAACCCCTCACATGGGTTGCAGGGGTCCAAGAACCTGGGGGCATCGTTCGGTGTTTTCCCAACTTCCTCCGTGGGGAGCTAAAGTGGAAGCAAAGGTGTTAGGAGTTAAATCAGTGCTGGTTTGGGATGCTGGTGTCACACATGGTGGCTTGACCTGCTGTGACACTGCACTGCTGTCTCTAGCCTTCTTGGAAAGATGCATTTACTCATTCATGGAAAAAATCTCAGTGTTACAGAGGGAAGGGAGAGAGACAGAGATTCCTCCATCCCTCCCCCTCCCCCAAATGTCCACAACAGCCATGGACAGGCCAGGCCGAAGCCAGAAACTGGAGTTCCATCTGGGTCTCCCGCAGTGGTGCAAGGGTACAAACCCTTGGCCCACCCTCTGCTGCCTTCCCAGGCACTCCATCACGGCGCTGGGTTAGAAGTGGAGCAGCTGGGCCCAGCGCGATAGCACAGTGGTTAAAGTCCTCACCTTGCACGCCCGGGATCCCATATGGGCGCCGGTTCTAATCCCGGCTGCTCCACTTCCCATCCAGCTCCCTGCCTGTGGCCCGGGAAAGCAGTGGAGGACGGCCCAAAGCTTTGGGACCCTGCACCCACGTGGGAGACCCGGAAGAGGCTCCTGGCTTCGGATCGGCATAGTATCGGCCGTTGTGCTCACTTAGGGAGTGAATCATCGGACGGAAGATCTTCCTCTCTGTCTCTCCTCTCTGTATATCCGCCTTTCCAAAACAAAAAAAGAGGTGCAGCAGCTGGGGCTCGAACCACCGCCCACATGGGATGCTGGCACCGTAGGCGGTGGTTCAACCCACCACGTCAGAACGCTGGCTCTTCCTTTAGTATCTTAATCTCTCTCACTGTGCCTTTCAAATTAAAAAACAAATCTGATGCTTTCAAAGATAAAATTGCACTAAATCACACATATGCTTGTATCAATGTTATGGGGTATTTGATTATTTTAATACCCGGGTACAATGTGTAACCAGCATGTTTATTACCTTAAATATTTGTCCTGTCTTTGGGGTGGGGACATTAAAAAAAATCCCCTCTCTACCAGACACTTTGAAATATTCAATAACTTTAAGATTTGTTTTTGCTTGAAGGGCAGAGTTATAGAGAGAGGGAGAGAGAGAGAGAGAGAAATTTGCCTCCTTTAAGTTCACTCTCTAAATGGTCACAAGGGGCCCAGCAGCCTGGCCTAGTGGCTAAAAGTCCTGACCTTGAACGCGCCGGGATCCCATATGGGCGCCAGTTCTAATCCCGGCAGTTCCTGGCTCCGGACCGGCATAGCATCGGCCGTTGCGCTCACTTGGGGAGTGAATCATCTGCCGGAAGATCTTCCTCTCTGTCTCTCCTCCTCTCTGTAGATCTGACTTTCCAATAAATAGATAAATTTAAAATAATAATAATAACTAAAAATAAATGATTACAACGACCAGGGTTGAGCAGTTCCAAAGCCAAGAGCTCCTTTCAGGTCTCCCACATGGGTACGGGGGTCTAAAGCTTTGGGGTATCCTCTGCTGTTTTTCCAGCCAATCAGCAGGGAGCTGGCTTCCAACTGGAGCAGCCAGGACAACAGCACTAGATCTAAATAGAGGTACGCGACTTCCATCTTAAGTCACGTTCACTTGGTGGCCTCGTTCACACATACATGTCAGCTTCTCACGACACAGCAGGACCCAGCAGGTCAGGCGTGGGGACCCTGTGTTTGCAGGAGAATCAGTTTCCAGATGCCCTGGCCACCGCTGTTCTTAGGGGTGAATTGAATTACGTTCGTTTCCATCTCTTTCTCTCAGACGCATCCATAGCCCGGAAGCTAGAAACCAGACAGCTGTTTCCCAGTTCCTGCTGCTCGGCCTCACGGATGACCCGGCCCTGCGGCCCCTCCTCTTCGGCCTGTTCCTGTGCGTCTACCTGGTCACCGTGCTGGGGAACCTGCTCATCATCCTGGCCGTGTACTGCGATGCCCACCTCCACACCCCCATGTACTTCTTCCTCGGCAGCCTGTCTTTTACAGACATGTGGATCAGCACCACCACCGTCCCCAAGATGTTGACCAACCTCTGGACTGGGGACCACAGCATCACCTACGCCGGCTGCCTCACCCAAATCTGCTACGTGTTGATCCTGGGTGGCTTTGAAAGCTGTCTGCTGGCCGCGATGGCCTATGACCGCTACGTGGCCATCTGCCAGCCGCTGAGATACACACTGCTGATGAACCCACGCCTGTGCATCCTGCTGGTCCTGCTCTCGCTGTGCGTCAGCCTCCTCAACGCCCTCCTGCACTGCCTGATGGTGCTGCGCCTGGCCTTCTGCACGCGCCTGGAGATCCGTCACTTCTTCTGCGAGCTGGTGCCCGTCATCCGGCTCGCCTGCTCCGACACCTTCCTCAACCAACTCCTGATCTATTTCGTGACCAGCCTGTTTGCTGGCATCCCTCTTACTGGCATCATCTTCTCTTACGGCAGGATCGTCTCCTCGGTCCTGAGGATGCCGTCAGCCAGGGGGAGGCACAAAGCCTTTTCCACCTGCGGGGCCCATCTGTCAGTGGTGTCCTTGTTCTATGGGACAGCGTTCGGGGTCTACATGAGCTCGGCCGTGGGTGAATCTTCCATGGGAAGTGTTGTGGCCTCCATGATGTACATTGTGGTCCCCCAGATGATGAACCCCTTCATCTACAGCCTGAGGAACAGGGAAATGAAGGGGGCCTTGAGGAGCCTCGTGTGTCAGCGGCATTGCGCTTGCCTCTTCGGGAGGACTTAAAATGATGGAAAAAAGAGCAGGAAGCCCAAATGTCTGACTCTTCATCACGGGATTCTTCCGAAATGACTAGCGGGCATGATGCTAGGTAAATTCGCTTTCAAAATGGTTACTTCTCTGATGGGGCCACCACAAGCTAGTCCTTCAGCTTTAAATGCCAGCATCCCATGAAAGTTCTGGTTCATGTCCCAAATGCTCCAGCTTCCCATCCAGCTCTCTGCTATGGCCTGGGAAAGCGGTAGGTGATAGCCCAAAGCCTTGGGACCCTGCACCTCTGTGGGAGACATGGAGGAAGCTTCTGGCACCAATCTTCAGATCAACTCGGCTAAGCCCATTGTGGCCATTTGGAGAGTAAAACAGTGAACGGAAGAGCTTTCTGTCTCTGCTCTCATTGTTAATCTGCCTTTATAACAAACAAGAAGTTTTTAAAAGTTTATTTATTTATGTGCCTGGCACGGTGGCTTAGTGGCTAATGCTCTTGCCCTGAACACTCTGGGATCCCATATGTCGCTGGTTCTAATCCCGGCAGCTCCACTTCCCATCCAGCTCCCTGCCTGTGGCCTGGGAAAGCAGTGGAGGATGGCCCAAGGTCTTAGGACACTGCACCCGCATGGGAGACCTGGAGGAAGTTCCTGGCTCCTGATCAGATCAGCGCAGTACCGGCCGTTGCGCTCACTTGGGGAGTGAATCAGAGGTCGGAGGATCTTCCTCTCTGTCTCTCCTCCTCTCTGTAGATCTGACTTTGTAATAAAAAGAAATAAATATGTTTTTTTTTAAAAAAAAAAAATTGATTTGAGGGCCCGGCGCAGTGGCGCAAGTGGTTAAGGTCCTCACCTTGCACCTGGGATCCCATATGGGCGCCGGGTTCTTATCCCCGCAGCCCCGCTTCCCTTCCAGCTCCCTGCCTGTGGCCTGGGAAAGCAGTGGAGGACGGCCCAAAGCCTTGGGACCCTGCACCCGCATGGGGAGACCCGGAAGAAGCTCCTGGTTCCTGGCTTCAGCTCGGCATAGCATCAACTGTTGCAGCTCACTTGGGGAATGAATCATCGGATGCAAGATCTTCCTCTCTGTCTCTCCTCCTCTCTGTATATCTAACTTTCCAACAAATAAATAAATCTTTTAAAAAAAAATTAAGTGAGCGGAGCCTGGCCCTGTGGCTTTACAGATTAAGCTGCTGCCTGTCTCGACACCAGCATCCAGTATGAGTGTTGGTTTGGGTCCCAGCTGCTCCACTTGCCAAAGCTGCATGAGAAGGCCATGGTTTGGGGTTTCTGCACCTGCCATCCCTCTGGGTGATTCAGATGGAGTCGACGCTTCTGGCTGCAGCCCGGTACAACCTGGGCCACTGTGGCCATGCGGGGAGTGAACCAGCAGATGGAAGACCGAGGACCCAGCATGATGGCGTAGTGGTTAAAGTCCTCTCCTTGCAAATGCCAGGATGCCATGTGGTCGCCGGTTCTAATCCCGGCTGCTCCACTTCCCATCCAGCTCCCTGCCTGTGGCCTGGGAAAGCAGTGGAGGACGGCCCAAAGCCTTGGGACCCTGCATCCATGTAGGAGTCCCGGAGGAGGCTCCTGGCTTCGGATCAGCGCAGCCCTGGCCGAAGCAGTCACTTGGGGAATGAACCATCGGATGGAGGATCTTCCTCTCTGTCTCTCCTCCTCCTCTCTCTATATCTGCCTTTGCAACAAAAATAAATAAATCTTAAAAAAAAAAAAAAGAGAGAGAGAGATGTTGCCAGTGTTATGTCATTTTCAGGGGCTTGTGTTTGGGCCTTGCATTCTGACCCAACTTCTTGGAATGTAGCAAAGGTTGGCTCATGAACCTGAACCCTTGCCGTTCACATGGGAGACCCGGAAGGAGTTCCTAGCTCCTAGCTTCGACCTGGACCGTGGGTATTTGAAGAGATCTCTCTCTAAATGAAATAAGTTTTTTTTTTTTTTAAGGAAGAAATGTGATTTCATCTCATTGTCCCCTAATATGACGGAAAGATGGGAATGATGGCGACTGGGAGAGAATTGAAAAAGTTACTTTCAAAACTTAAATGGGAAGTACAATCCCATAACATATAAAGCTCAAAAGTTAGAGTTTGGCAAACATTCAGCAATCTTTAAGATGAGGTCCTTCGAAGTAGTTCCATTTTGACACCATCTTAGCTAATATGTGTATTATTTTCCCTATGTCTATATATTAAATATTTAGGGCAAGGTTGGGGGGGGGGGAGAGAAGAGGAAGGGAGAAAGAGGAGAGAGAAGGAGGGGGCGGAGGGAGGAAAGAATAGAGAGAGAAAGGGAGGGATTAGTATGAATCTATCATCTTTTGGTTCAGTCCCAAATGGCCACAAGAACTAGGGTTGGTCCAAACCAAAGCCAGGGGGCCCAGCAGCGTGGCCTAGTGGCTAAAGTCCTTGCTTTGAATGCGCCGGGATCCCATATGGGTGCTGGTTCTAATCCCAGCAGCTCCACTTCCCATCCAGCTCCCTGATTGTGGCCTGGGAAAGGAGTCGAGAACGGCCTAAGCCTTTGGGACCCTGCACCTGCGTGTGGGAGACCCAGAGGAAGTTGCTGGTTCCCAGCTTCGGATGGGCACAGCATCGGCCGTTGCGCTCATTTGGGCAATGAATCATCAGCCAGAAGATCTTCCTCGCTGTCTCTCCTCCTCTCTGTAGATCTGACTTTCCAAACCAAAGCCAGGAGCCAGGAACTCCATCTGGGTCTCCCGCATGACATTGGTGGCAGGGAGCCCAAGCACGTGGGCCATCTTTCACTGCTCTCCCAGGCACATGAGCAGGGAACAGACTCAGAAGTCCAGCAGCTGGGACTTGAAGCTGTACCCACGTGGGATGCTGACATTGTCAGCTGTGGCTTCGCCTGAAGACGCTGCCTGGGGGGCTGGTGGGGTGACTCAACAGGCTGGAAGCACCAGCATCCCATACAGGTGCCAGTTCGTGTTCTGGCTGCTCCACTTCCAATCCAGTTCTGTGCTAATGGCCTGGGAAAGCAGCAGGAGGATGATCCAAGTCCTTGGGACCCTGTACCCATATGGAAGACCCAGAAGAAGCTCCTGGCTTCGGATCAGCTCAGCTCCGGCCACTGGGGGAGTGAGCCAGTGGAGGCGCAATCTTTGTCTCCTCTCTGTGAGTCTGCCTTTCAAATAAAAATAAATACATATTTTCAAGAATAAATTTCCAAAGGACAGTGCTTGGGGGAAATCCACATCCTGCATCGGAAGGTGTGGGTTCGATTCCCGACTTGAGCTCCTGTGTCTGAGTGGGCAGCCAGATGATTCCCCCAAGCACGGGGTTCCCTCACCACCCGATACATAGGAGGCCCGAATTGAGTTCCAAGTTCTATCATTTTGACCCGTGCACAACTCTTAATTGTGGTGCGCAGTGGATAAACCCCTTTGGCTCATTTTACTTGCAAATAAATAAAAGTATAGGAGCCAGGCTGCCCGAGGTCATGAATTAAAGACACTCCGTTGTCTGCAAAGGGGTTAGAACAAAGGTGAGCAGGCGGAGTGGACAGGACTGGATGGTGTCCGCTGGTCTCTGGGGTCGGGGAGTGTGTTTTTTTCTGAACTGCTTTTTTTTTTTTTTTGTAGCTTTGGTCCTTAAGGATCTGTTCCCTGGGGATCTGGATGGCACTGAAGTAGCTGCTCTAACGAGGAAGGAACGTTGGGGATATAGAGGCCATCAGGGTTGGTCCGTAGCCACCTCACATCATGGCACCTGCGCCGTTAGGATGCCGCACACCTGAGCTCCCCGCCTGGAGATGAACCTGCCAGTCCAGGAGCCTGGGACCACCACCCCTCCCACCCTAGACCTTCCCAGAGGACAGATCTTGTACCTTTAGCATGCAGGTAAGCTATTGGACGTCATTCCCCTCAATGCCAACCAGGCAATCCAAAGTCCCTTAGCTAATGCTTTGGATGTGAGGGTTAAGTATCGTGCTAGGATTTAACCGCCAGAGAAACACAGAGGACCGAACGTGAGTGAGAGAAACAGGTCGCCTGCGAGAACCTTGCCAGCATGCCTGTCACCTTCTTTGGTTCTCATTCCCATTGGCGCCGTGGCCTCGCCTGGTTCTCGCTGTGCTGGGACTATTCTTTCCAAGGGCTGAGCCCATCCTTATATGCACCTGAAGTGTGGCAGGTGGGGAGGGAGGAGCAGTTTTTTCTTGTTTTTGAAAGTTTATTTGAAAGGCAGAGATCCAGAGAGAGAGAGAGAGAGACAGACAGAAGGAGAGGCAGAGCCAAAGCATCTTCCACCTGTTGTTCTGGTCCATAAATGCCTGCATCAGTTGGGGTTCCAGCCGGCAGTTTGAAGTTCAGGTGGCTATACCACCTGCCGCCTCCCAGGATGCACTTCGCTGGGGATGTGGCATCAGGAGCGGAGCCGGGACTTGAACCCACGGCACTCTGCCGTGGCCTGCCTGATGGCAGGCTTCACCACTGCGTTAAACACTTGGCTAAGCGCGTTAACATTTTCCAAAGTTGTTGCGCTGACGTGCACAGCTCCGGAAGCTCATCAGCCATGGTGGATGTTTCTCCTCTGAAGGCCGGGAGTCCGGAGACAGAGAAACTGGCGGAAGCCACCCCCTCCCTGTGGCCTCCTATGGCTGTCCTTCCATGTGACGAATGCCTGGGCTCTTAGGACCCATCAGACCGGATGAGGGCCCATGCTCACCGCCGCCTCGGGTTCACTTTGTTTCTTCTGGGAACCATTTCCAGACACGAGGCACTTTCTGAAAGTCTGTGGGAGTGAGGGGAGGAGATAAGGTGCTTTGCCACAGCTGCCTGAAATCTCCTGCATACGCACTGGCAAGGTGTGGAGGGCTTGCAGTTTCTTATCTGCTTCCTTCCCTCTGGCTCTCCCTCCCTCCCTGCTCCCTTCCTCTCTCCCTGCCTCTCTCCCTCCTTCCCTCCCTCCCTGCTCCCTTCCTCTCTCCCTCCCTCCCTCTCTCCATCTCTCTCTCCTCTCCCTCCTTCCCTCCCCCCTCTCTCCCTCTCTCCATCTCTCCCTCCTTCCCTCCCTCCCTTCCTCCCTCCTTTCCTCTCTCCCTCTCTCCATCTGTCTCCCCCTCTCTCCCTCTCTCCATCTCTCTCTCCCTCTCTCCCTCCTTCCCTCCCTCCCTACCTCCCTTCCTTTCTCCCTCTCTCCATCTCTCTCTCTCCCTCCCTCCCTCCCTCCCTTTCTCTCTCTCTCCATCTCTCTCTCCCTCCTTCCTTCCCTCCCTCTCTCCCTCTCTCCATCTCTCCCTCCCTTCCTTTCTCCCTCTCGCCATCTCTCCATCTCTCCATCTTTCTCTCCCTCGCTCCTTCCTTCCCTCCCTCCCTGCTCCCTTCCTCCTCCCTCCCTCTCTCCCTCCCTCTCTCTCCCTCCTTCCCTCCCTCCCTTCCTCCTTCCCTTCCTTTCTCCCTCTCCCCATCTCTCTCTCTCCCTCCTTCCCTCCCTCCCTCCCTCCCTCGCTCCCTCTCTCCATCTCTCTCTCTCTCTCCCTCCTTCCCTCCCTCCCTCCCTTCCTTTCTCCCTCTCTCCATCTCTCTCTCTCTCTCCCTCCTTCCCTCCCTCCCTCCCTCCCTTCCTTTCTCCCTCTCTCCATCTCTCTCTCTCTCTCCCTCCCTCCCTCCCTCCCTTCCTTTCTCCCTCTCTCCATCTCTCTCTCTCTCCCTCCTTCCCTCCCTCCCTTCCTCCTTCCCTTCCTTTCTCCCTCTCTCCATCTCTCTCTCTCCCTCCTTCCCTCCCTCCCTCCCTCGCTCCCTCTCTCCATCTCTCTCTCTCTCCCCCTCCTTCCCTCCCTCCCTCCCTTCCTTTCTCCCTCTCTCCATCTCTCTCTCTCCCTCCTTCCCTCCCTCCCTCCCTCCCTCCCTTCCTCCCTCCCTTCCTCTCTCCCTCTCTCCATCTCTCTCTCTCTCTCCCTCCCTCGCTCCCTCTCTCCCCCTCTCTCTCTCCCTCCTTCCCTCCCTCCCTTCGTTCCTTCCTGCCTCCCTTCCTCTTTCCTTCCTTCCTTCTTCCCTTCCTCTCTTCCTTCCTTCCTTCCTTCCCTCTCCTCTCCTCTCCTCTCCTCTCCTCTCCTCTCCTCTCCTCTCCTCTCCTCTCCTCTCCTCTCCTCTCCTGCCTCTTCTCTTCCATTCTCCTCACCCTCCCTCTCTCCCCTTTCTCCTGGCTTGCCCTTTTTAAAACTTTTCGTCGCAGACTGCCTATCCGTTGACACGAGCTCCATGTGGGGTTGCCACAGAATGAGGGGGAAACGACAAGAAAACCAATGTGGAGTAACACAGAGTTTGCACGCTTGCTCCAGCCAGCTTACCCCGCGGGTAGCCTGTTCCAAGAGTGGGACGTGTGGCAGAGAAAAGGGAATTTACCCTGCAGATGGGAACACAGGATTCAGCCCTGACCTGCCAGCTCTGATTTGGTTCTCTCTCGCTGGCTCTGTGTCATCATTGCCCAGGCAGCTCCGGCGTGGTCTGTACCTGCTGGTTGCAAAGGACTTAGGGCAAGGCAGGCAGAGGCGCACCCGGTCCCCCTTCCTGGTCCTCCTGCTTCTGTTTCTAGAACTGCTACTTAATTTCTTACAATTTGTTGTTTGACAGGCCAAGTGATAGGGAGAGGTTCCGAGACAGAAAGAGATCTTCCGTTTGCTGATTCGCATCTCGTATGCCTGTCACAGTCACGCTGGAGGCAGGAGCCGGGAGCTTCCTTTGGGTCTCCCACATGGATGGCAGGGATCTAAGGACTTGAGTCTTCCTCTGCTCTCGTAGGATGCTAAAAGCAGAGGGGTTTGAGCTCAGGCTTAACCGAGCAGTGTCATAACCCTGCCCTAAATGCCTTCCCCTGCTCTGCGTTTCGCCTTGTAGCCATGCTAAGGGAATACTGGGTGTCACTGTTTGTTTTGTAATTTTTTTCCTGTCTGGCCAAGGTGTCTAGAGGCGGCATCAGCCCTTTGCCAGAATTCGCATTCCTTACCACGGAGAGGGGCCCCCTCGCCTTTTCTCACTGCCCCCTTGTGGAAGGTGAGCAGTGCCACGTGCAATTGTTTGTGATAGAGAATGAATTATCTATGATGGAAGACGGTCCACCGAGGACCCTAATCTACCCAGCTCTGCGTTGGTGGTTTTTGTTCTGTTTATTATGTCAAAGCATCCCCCACGGATC